CTACCACCAATGAAATATCGGACCAAACCAAGCCTTTACAGTAGTGAGGTATCAAAAATCGAACTAGTGTATATAAGTAAAACACTTAAACAAAGAAATTGATCTCAAACAAACTTGTATTGAGAGTTAATTTCAAGATACGAGTTTTTATAGGAGTAATTATGAATGTTTTATTACAATGTAACTATGATCAAGGAAAGAAAGTTGACACTACTAGTGTAGAGAATGTGTCATTTCATTATGAAGACTAATTATAATGCAGTGATGCATGAGTTGTATTCATGTTTTTTGTACTATTTAATCTATAGCTTTAGCAACAGCAGAAGCTGCTTCACAAGAAGAATCTACACTTTCCATATTTGATTTTAAAGTATCAAAAGAAGAGCATGATGTGATGTCAGAAGAAGCTGAGGTAATCTGTACATTAATAAGTACAATTTTCTTTTTAGGGTTAACTAGCAAGACAGTTTTGAGAGAACAGTATGCAGTATTGTAGTTGGAATGATATATGACGGGACTTCACTTACCTGGTGTAATTACCATTAATGTATTGTAGTTACAACCAGAAGAGGGTTAATGTAAGTTGTTGAAGTGTCGTCAATGTTAGTGAGACATCAGGTAAAATAATATCAACTGTTTTATTCTTATTATTATAGCATTAGTGTTAGAAGTCCACATATGCTTACAGTTTTTATATTAACTTAATATAAATAAAATCTCTGCAGGTGTAAAGATAAAATAAATGTTTAGCTGTCTTGTTATCCAGCATTAGATTGAATAACTTGTTCAAATTTATGAATTCTGTTACATATTAGTGTTAAATGTAAGCTTATTGTGTATATATGATAGTTTCTGGTATTGTAACATCAGTGTGATATCTGAACAACATTTGTGATTTACTATATTTTATTAATTGTGTAAGTACATGGTTTAAAAATAACTTTTCCTGTCTTACCTTCAATGCTTGTAACCTTAGAGTTGGGTGATTAGTGTTATATGATTAAAAACACTGATTTCTATTATTTGATTATTTTGTGAGTTATGATAGTAATTGATTTAACTGAACAGTCTTGAATAAATTTGAGATGATATGAGAATTATAAGGGCAGTATTTAAATTAAAAAACTTTAATCAGAAACACTGATTTTGATTAGTTGATTATTTTCATAATATTAATCGATTTAAACAATGCTGATAGGTAAGTAATTCATTGAGTTAATTGCCCAAATCTACTTATAATTAAGTAACTCTTGTTCTGACAATTATTTAAGTGCAAACAAGGTTGAATACATAGTAAGTACCAAAAATCCTTATTTTTTGAAATATATATTGTATTTGTTATTATATCTTGTTCAACAAAAGTAATTAAAATGTAAAATTATAAACTTCTCAGCTTATCCTAACAAAACTTAAGCAAAATAAAATATTTTAAATTCCTTGAGCTCTGTTGCCATTTGAAACATGACACTAATAATCATGTACTGTTTATTTAGGCTCTGCAGTAAACAGCTAATAGGCTACCACTGTGATTTAATACCTTTGGTGTGAAGATTACTGCTATGGGTGCAAAGTATAGCAATATAACCATAAAATTAAAAGGAAACAGATATGAAAAGGTTAAGACTTTCTGATAGTAATATGTCTGACCCTGAGTATTTTATGGGAAATATTGGAATTGACCTGAATTATACAGATACAAATTTTCTAATCATTAATAAAAAGACTGAGAGTTGAAAACAAAGTGCCATGACTAGTATATTTTCCAGGATTGTAAAAGAGGGGAAAGATCAGACATGACCTTTTTATCATTTTTATTAACTCAGTAGGTTGTGGGTAGGTGTATGAGATTGGAGATTTGTTAACACTGTCCCTAATTTGTGAAGGGGGTGATAAGAGCTGTTCCATAAAATTGAGACCAGTTAGTTTTGCTTTTCTAATAGGAAGAATTATATAAAGTTTGGTAAAAGAAGCTTTTTTGAAAATAATTTAAATAATAAAAGAGAAACTTATATGAAAACTTATCTGGATGATGAAAAGGATGTTTCTTTTGTGTACATAGAATAGATACTTCACTCAGAAGATTAGCTAACTTAAAGTTTGGGGAAGACTACTTTATTGGATTGAAGAGTGGCTGGGTGAGAGAAAGCAAAGTTTTTATTAATGAAGTCAAGTTGAAATACACTTACAGGGATTGATGCTTTGGCCTTTGCTTTTTCTTACTTACGGTACTGGCATTGATAGGGACATTATTAGTAAATTGTTTAAGTTTGCTGATGACATTAAACTCTTGGTTATTCATAGCTGTAAAGTGGATGTTGAGGTACTACAGAATTACTTGGGTCAGTTGATGAGTTGTACGATAGTTGACAAATGATGCTTGTTATACTAAGTGTAAGGTAATACATATGAGTGATAGTAGTTTGGTCTACAAGTTTTATATAAGTTGGTAACTCTCCTTGTGATCTATCCAAAGAAAAGGATTTTTGCATAGTGGTAGATACGTCACTGAGGCAGAGGCCTGTTTCCATTTATACAAATCAGTAGTTAAGATTCATTTAAAAAATTGTTCAGTCTTCTTATCTAATAAGGGATATTTTTTATTGGAAAGAGTTCAGAGGAGGGGTGTCAGGATGATTCTGTGGCTTGAAAGTTGTCTTATAAGAATAGGTTGAAATATTTTAACTTTTTTATTCTTAGAAAAGGATAGTAAAGGCAATCTTATTGAACTTTTTCAAGGTTATCTTGGGGACCAGTAGATAAAAGGCCTATGATTTTCATGGGCATCCACAGAAATTATTCCAGGGAGGAGCAAAGTTTTCTGGGAGGGGCAAAGTAATGTAAAATTGTGAATTGAATAAAAAAAATTCATATACATGAACTGAATGAATAAAAAAAGAATTACTTTTCTCATTTTCTGGGGAGGAGGGGGGCAAATACCCATGAGGACTTCTTTGTTCTGAAACCTGAAGACAGTAGGATGAGAGGACAAATGGTAAAGATTTAGAAAAGACAGTTGAAGCTCCAGTTAAGATAGTTTTTTTTTAAGGGAGATTAGTTTGTGGAATAAGATGTCATTAGAAGCCGTGGAAGATGGTGCCTTACAAGAATTTGAGAGTGGAATCAATGATTTCTTTAAAAATAGAGAACTATACAATTTTTACTCATCTTTGGAATGGATGTGCAGGGATGACCTGGAAGGACCAGATGTCTCTTGTTGTCCATATGTTATAATACTGTTATATATGTAATTAATAACACACTAGTTACTGGTGTTTGTTATTTTAAATAAGTTTCTAGTGAAGGTATTGCTTGTTTCACTAGGAAGACTTATCTGATATTATTCCAAAATAGAAATACCAGATGTTGCTTAGTGAACTTGGGTGGGAGGGGGGTCTTTGTACTTCGTTGACAGCAGTATATAATTTATTGTAATAGTGAGTTAAATATATCCCTTTCTTATTTTAGAACACACTTGTCACAGTAAAAAATGAGCAACTTGATGATTCATCACATTATGGCATCGTTTATAAGTTCAATGAGAGTGATGATGAAATTTTGAATTTGAAAAGGAAAAAGAGCCAAAAGAATATTCTACATTAGATGCTTTAAGTGAGTATAAACGTTACAAAAATATATTTATTAATCACTTGGTACTAGAAGAGCAATGGTATTAATATATTGTGTTAGATATTGTTAATAATGTACAATTTTTATACAATTTCAGTGGTGTTTCTCTGTTTACTTTCTTGAGACTCAAAAATCAGCATAGTAAGTGAAAGAGGCATCAAAAGGGCCATGAGGTAGAACAAACTGTCCCTATGTATGAAAGAAAAATAAAATAAGTTAGCTGAACATTATGGGTATAACCCTTAGAGCTGTGATATTTTTGACATAATGTTTTTAGTGAAAGTATGCTATGAATTAGCATTTAAATATAAAATATGAAAGGAAAATTCACCTGATATATTGTAATGTCAAATTTGTTACTTGTGTATTCAGATAGGTTTGGAGATCATTGCTGTTTTTATTTACCCAAGAGAAGAATACCTTAAAATATTTTTTTTTTATTAGTAACCCTAAGACATCTATTAAAGAAACTAGTACCAGTAAGTAATATTGTAGTGTTAAAGCTTTTTGTTATTTACTTAGAAGTTTTTATTTTGATTCTTTACTTGGTTAAGCATAAGTTTTAAGTTTATGAATTTTAATGAATACTTCTATAATCCACCTTTGATGATCTCATATAAACTTGGATCATAAGCTATTTTTAGGATTTGAGTTTATATTCTAGTTGTGATGGGAATCTTCATTTGTGTTTACTCATAACTGATGAGTGATGGGAAAAGTTTAAGTTAATCTATCAGTTTAAATTATTTCATGTACTTTAAAAAAGTTAATTGTGTTGCACTCTTGCCAAAGCTCTGAGCTACTTATACTACCCACCACAAAAAGTAATTGTTGAGCATTTCAGTCATGCTAAGAGCTACTCAACAATAACATATGCTAAATCTACATTTTTATTCTTTAAGTTATGTCACATTTTGAAATGTGAATGATAGTTTAATTAATTCCTAACAACTCAGATTAGAATATCCTGCTTGCAAAATAGAATTTGACATCAACATTATGCCTCTTCTCCTGTCATTTCAAAAGTGAATGCTGAGTTTTGCCTGCATGCACAGCTTTATAAACGCATTGTGGGAAGCAGACGCCTTAATTGGTTAATTGGGAGACAGACAAATGCTCGGACAGACACCACAGTTTGCAATATAAGTAAGATGTTAAATGAAAATGGAACAAACAGATGACAAGCATGCATCAGTATGATAAAAACTAATTTTTTAAATAAATATGTTCCAAAGAGTTTGCAAAGAAGCATTGCCATTATTGTCATATACAAAGGGTTTTTCAGACTGTTTTGTACAGTGAATGCTGTTAAATGTAAAGTGTTTAGGTAGTCTCACTTGGAAACAGAAAGATATTTTATATAATGCTCATATTATGGCTAACTTGTTAAAACTATGAAACTAATAATAGATGTGAATGATTTATTCGTAATTACAAATGAAGAAAGTGCTTTCAAGTACATTTGAAGCAAGTATTTCTTTTCAATTTAACAGAGAACTGTTGCAGGTAAACATTATTACAATGATGACAAATATTAGTACTAACTTTTCTCAGGACAACAATACTTCTTTTTTATCCCACCAATTTTGATTTTTGTTTGCAAATTATTTGGAGAATTTCTGAAAAAATATGATCCCAACAGAATTTATACTAGTGAAAAAATGTGTCAAGATTCTTTTCAACTACTTTCAATATGTTTTATTATAGTTAACTTAAGGTTTAATGCTTGATTAAGGAATGAAAGAAGGAACTGTAATAGTGACAAGAAAATTAGTGATTTTGTAGTTAGAACTTATTACAATGAAGTGATGCATAAGTCATATTCATATTCATTGTTACAAAAATACTGTTTATTTTATACTTCTAGCAACAGGAGAAGCTGCTTCTGTAGAAGAACAATTTTTACACTCCATCACTGATTTTAAAGTACCAAAAGAAGAGCAAGAGAACAGTGATGGAATACTGTTGAAAACTGAGGTAATGTTTCAAATTGTTATAATAGAGCAAAAATTCATGTTGTTTATCAGTAACATTTAGGAGGAATTGAAATAATGATATCTTTTTCTTTACTTCATTTCTGTAATCACTATTGAAGTCATTGGTAGTCACAACCTGATAAGATGAGAGGAAGTCATTTATATGTTATTGATATTAGTTATACATCAGATAGAAATAATGTGACTAACAACTGTTTTAGTAATGAAAGTTCATAAACTGTAAGATAAATGTGTTCGTATGAAGATATCTGTAAAACACTTTAATATTTGTTTTAATTGCGAGTTTAACCCTTTGACTACGACCTACTTACTTTGTAAGTAGGTATGCAACTCTCATGAAAGTTCTTTACAAAAATGAAACTTGTGGATGAAATTTTTTTAAATTTGAGATAAAAGGTCCTATAAGTATGTAGCTTTTCATAAACAAGATATTTAATTTCGATTTTTTTCTAAAGGAATGTTTTTCTCATGCCTTTTTTTCTCTTTGCATGTTCCCTATCCAACATGCAAAGTAATTTTAATTTAAGATTAAAAATACTTTTATGTATCAAAAAATTTTCAAATTTCACAAGTGAAGTCCGTATAATGTCCGGGTAGTTATCAAATGTTCCTTAAGAAAAAACTTAATATTTTATCTGTTATTTTCACTAACAGATATATGTATGGGTTTGGTCAATTTGACCGATCTCGTAACCACCATAAAAAAAAGGAAATAAATATAAGTTATGACATTTTCATTCTAGAATGACTTCAAATTATAACACAAAAACATAAATGTTTAGACTAAATAGCTTAACTCTCATAACATTATAAATTTATATATATATATTTATTATTTTTATTATATTCCCCTTTCAGCTGTGCCTGGCTAACAATACAGAAGTTACAATGATACAGCGCATGTGCACTCATGTTACCATATCTTCAGTCTCTACAAAGTGACCTGTCTTGGCTCTGTTTAATTGGACTAGTATTTTGTAAAATTCAGTCACATTTCAATTATTATACACTATATAATAAGTTCTTAAACTTATTTTCCTTAAAACATAGAACAGTAAATAAAGAAGTAAAGTGAATAGTTATATCTTCTAGTTCCGACCTTTGAACTTGGTTGCTGCTTGTC